AAAAAAATGATATCTGGTATTTTCCTAAATTGATTTGCTTTAAACAAACTATAGCCTTCCTAAAAAGTAGTTTTATGGTTTACATTTTATCTTACTTTGTTTCACTATATTATCTTAACAATAAATGAAAGATAAACACAGAATTCTAATAAGTATTTTAAAGACTGACGCACCTTTACATTAGTTTCGGCCTCGTTGGTACCGTCATCATTTTATCTAGAGACGAGTCATACTAGGCCAGGATCCACTACACCAGCAGTAGGCCTAGGTGGTTAATTCATGTTTCGCCTACCGCGCTAATCAAATTTATCTTTGCTCTTGGGAATACAGACGGGCTGCTCCTCTTTTTGGTGACATTCACTTGTTTTTAAAAATACGTAAACGTACCCTCGACCACTCCCGTAGATTATCCAGGTATCCTTTGTCTTCAATTTTGTGTCGCAGTACGACAGCGTGACATCTTTTCCGTCGGCCTAGGCCTATTGTGGTGGACAGTTATGTTCTACTGTAGTCTTTAAAATACTGAGCCTCGCGCGTGAACCAAGACGGTTCGCAATACAACCACTTCCTTGACTGCAGCTTTTCCACGCACTCGATATTGTGCGCAGAACAAAAATTTCTCTGGAATACAGCTTTTTTGGCGTTTTCTTTTCCTCCACTAATAATACCACGATATTCCACACACCTGCACGGAGCCGTGTCCCAACTTCCTGACTCCTCTCTACAAACGTGGCACCAAAACGAGAACCGTTTGATTGGTTGACCTTCAGTCTTAACATTCACTCTATTGCCAAATACGGCATCCTAAAAAATACGTCATGCTTGCCACGGCCAGCGGTCTGCAATCGATTTGACTCACACTTTTACAAATCTCTAACTCGCATAAAAGTTTCTCGATACATACCGTCGCTGGTGGTGCTCTCCAAAATTAACTAATTCTAGGAAAACCTATAATTAGAGTCTTGTGGCAAGTCTACTACTTATGCAAACCGGGGCTACGCCTAACTTGAACCTCCTCAGGCCTATGTCCTAATTCCCAATGTAGGCCTAGCTAGGGCCTAGCCTAGCGGGTCATACTGTCCTAATACGAAGCCTAGGCCAGGCCTGTAGAGGCATAAGCTAGTAGGCTGGATAGAGTCTGACAAAGCACCCTCCTTTTTGACTGTGTTGTTGAAGAGTTTTGGAAAAAACATTCTAGGCTTACCTGTATACTGTAGTTTTATATATTTTCTTAATTTTGAAATACACAAAAGCACGTCCATACTCCATGATGCTATCGTGTACTACTGTATCGCTATGCCCAGGTCTTGACCTTACACAATAATAAATCTTCCATTTGTTGGGGTTTTAAAAATACACAGAAAAGCAGTATATATTTATAAAAGTGGTAACAATATATTTTAATTTTATACAAATATCTGATTTAATTAATAATAAGATTTCTTTTAACACTAAAAATCCATTATTGAAGTAGTGGGTTACGCCCACTCGGTATGCCGATCCTTTAGTACAAGAGAACAGGTTAGTGAAGTGGTTACTTGCTAACGCAGATCATTATTGATCAATGACGAAAGTTAACAGATAGTCAATTGCATTACTTCTCACAAGTTAACAATTACTTATGTACTAATTGCAGAATCGGGTGGCCACCGTCTGATTCTCACATGGAGCGGAGTCACATTCGTCGTAGGACTGTCGTGCAGTGGGTGCCCGGCTTTTAAATACAGTATTTATCTACAATACTCTTTAATGATGTTGAACATTCTACTGCAATTATTTTATGATAATGAAAATTGAATACAATTCTAGGATTTCATTAGGATATATAAAGATTTTAAAGTTATTTTTAATCAACCAATAACGGTGAAGACGTATTTAAGAAAGTTTTGAGACCTGTCAGGTCTCATTCTCAACTAGGGTTTCATTAGGGACTTTTAGATTGTGTGGACGTGGACCTGGTTCACGTCGACTAGTCATGCGTGTCAACGTAGTCAACTATACCTGTTGACTACAAATAAAAACCTTTTAGATTTCAGTCGACGATACGTCGACATGTAGTGAACTACATTACGTGCTATCAGTTCGCGCGCGCGCGCTAGGCAACCTTATTAAGCAGCTGTCATGGCGAACCTTCATCGACTTCGCGAAATTATTGTCTTAGCATATTCTACCGGTGTCTTGGACGATGAGGAATTCATGTTGTTATAGAGGAATTCATGTTTTTATACAATACAAATAAACCCACAAATGCCGAATTCAGGTACCGAGATTATCAGAAATTTGATCTAGACAAGTACAACAATGATGAATGTAATGCATACTTCAGGTAAGAACCTTTTTTTTTCTTGCAGTCCCACCCAGAATTATGGTACAGTAGTTGATACGCAAAATCTGGAGTTGCTAAACACTCCACTTTAGTTTTAGGCTTAGCAAAAGATTTTAATATTATTAATCAAGAGCTCTATAAAAGACTATAGATCTAGATCTAAATTATGTATAAATTTACAAAAATAAACATTCATTCAAAAAGAAAAATCCATCTCCAATCTAACCATAAATCCCCTAATCTAGATTCTTTCCCCTACCCCAGCCTCCATGGTCTAGTTGAAACAAGGTTGCCTATTTCAAGTTAATAAATTTTATCCAACTATTTTCTGATTTATTTGTAGGTTCAGAAAAGATGATCTCCATCGTCTGAAAAGCGTACTCGACGTTCCAGCTATCATTAGATGCAAAAATGGATCGAGAGTTGATGGTGTCTCCTAAGATTGGTAGCAATGTCTTCCCATGCCTTTCCCCTTTCTTTGGTACGCTCTTTGTATTTGAAAGGATTGACATAATCAACCTCTCGGCACAGAATTAGGCTCATGTCTGGAGTCCACGAGATAGGCCTGTTACAGTGACAAATTAAAAAAAAACTGTACATAATTGAGATAGAATATGCATAAATACAATAAGGTTCAATGTTTTCTAAGGAAGAACATCTAGTATTCTATAAACCAAAAGATGAAGGTTTGCAATTCATAGTTACACAAGTCGCAATGCTAAATCAAACTGGGAAAGTTAATCGGAAAATAAATTAATTTGGGTGGCAAAATCTTTTAATATGCAAACTTTTAATAAGATACAAGTTGTTGGGAACAATGTTCATATTTTAAATTCACTTCATCATTTTTGAAGCCTGAAATAAGATACAATAAAATTCTGAACACATAAGCATTAAAAGTATTCAGATGAGCATTAAAATACTTTAGTATCAGATCATGTGTCCTGGCTTACCTGGTAAACACGTATTTATGACTTTATGTATAATATGAATGAAAATGGTATCATACATAGGGTAAAAAAACCTTTGTCACTCACGTTTTATTAGTTACTAGAGGACTTGCAGCTGAACGTGAACTTGTTGTAGTTCTATGTGAAGCTGTCCGTTTTGATTTACAACTGGGCAACACTTGCTCTTCTTGCCCCGACTCTTTTTCTGAGGACGTATGTTGTGATTCCTGTGAAAAAGCAAATGAATTTAGGAATTCAGTTTTATGAGTTGGACTGATAATCTAATGTGCCCTCTATATGTGGCAGTTGTTGTGTATATATACACAACAACTGCCACACTGTGTGATGTGTGTCCAATAGTACGCTTACACACTGTACGGCACTGCACAAACGAAATGGGAGACTGAAAAAAATATACTAAATAATATACTATAAAAAATATAAATACTAAACTAAAAGTCTGCAAATACCTGAAATACACTTTTAAACACAAAATAATAAAAGATGCATAATACATTTCCATAAAACTTTACTCAGTAGACAGGAATGTTGCATCGACAATGCAATGACAAGTGCATCATATGGCGGTCTAGCATAACATCAAAGACAGGGTCAGTTCAAACAAATTAAAATACGAATGTCTCTATTTACAAGCTTCATGGGGAGCATTTTACAAGTAAGTTAAATAAAGGAGTAGCAGTATTCCATTCAGACACGAGAACACTCCTTCATGACCTGCGCCAGCCAGGGAGGGCCCATTCAGTGCGTCAACTGCGATGATGCAGATAGTTAACAGGCCTCCCCGGCCGCGCGCTCGCTGTAGTGCAAGCATTTGCATTGCATGCACACTGGCGTAGGCCTAAGCACGCTGATGAATTTCCACAGCTATTTTTGTGTTTACGAAGGCAGTAGAAATTACATAACTGCCTGTGCATTAAAAAGCAAATAATACAGATTAATTCAACACAAGTTAGAAACTTACCTCAGACTCTGTCGCTGCCTCAGTTGGACGCACTAGTGAAAGCAGCGTTGCCACTATACTTTCGTCTTCCATCTTTAAACTTTTTAAACTTCACAAGCGAGCACGGCGTCCTAAATTTAGGACGACGGGAAAAACAGGGTAAACACGTTCTCGATTTTGGTAGTGAACGAGAGAGACGACGTAACGCATGCGCAGTGCCTTAAAATGACCTCATCACGTAGCAGTCCACTATGTCGACGTGCAAATCTAAAAGTCCCTATTGTGGGAGCGCCTTCCGCTTGAGCTTGCCCTTCTTTTCCTCCAGGTGCTTCCTCTTTTCATGGGATGGCGAGGGATGGGCAGTATCTTCCCCCCAGCTCGCTCGAAGACGGCCCGGAGTACAGCGGGTTCAACACGTTCGGCAATCGCTGCCAGACACCTCCAATGGATGAGGGATGCCAAATGGTTGGCAGGATTGATGGTGAAGGTGATTGGCTCATCTTCACCCATTACAGAGCAGATCATCTGCATCGCCCTGTACGTTTTGTGGTCAATGGCATACTTGACCCCTGGCGGTCCCATTGCCCTTTCCCGGTTGACCCGAATCATTAGTGCCTGCAGAGTGGTTCCTCACCCATGCATACAATAGCCAGCTGCTCTAGAATTTGGAGATGTCGCCGAGCTTGACGACGGGTGCTCCGACCTAAAGGCTTCAGACACGGGGCATGTTTCTCCATCACATGCACTCGCATGTTCACCACCCTTCTCAGTGTACAACCCGACAAAACACATGGGTTCTCCGGGCCAAGACAGGGACGGCTCGGCAAAACCGGCTGCCCTGTTCCAGTTTCCAATTTCTACGAGAGTAAGGAAATACAATACATTTGGTTAGACATGATATTAACCAAGGAACTAGAACTAGTTATTAACATTACACGTTAGTGAATGTTTAACTGGCCAGGGTTTTTACACTGGGCACACTTATACAAATCAATGTCCAGGGCATCCGATGGCGAGATGTTCACACATGAGCCATGATACCAGACATCACAATAATCACACTGAATCATAAAGGCGCCTGCCCAGGGTTTGTGACAACTGCAGTACCGCGTTCCTGGGGCATCATCCGCATTATCTGTAGGTAAAGAGGAAGATGGTAAAACATAGTTAATCAACCATTTGGGAAGCTGCCTATCAAGGCAAGGCTTCAACTTATCATGACTGAGGATCATCACTTTGTTCCTCAATTGTACCCTGAATAATTACGGAGTTATGACGTCCATTATGACTCCTGGACCCTTCCACGGAGGACAAACTTTTTTTGCATTTGCCTTTGGGGGTGCTGTTATCGAATATATACACCCTATCCCCACGTCGATAAGGCCTTTTTTCACGCAGATCGTAATTATTCTTCTTGCGCTTCTGAGTCTCCTTGAGGGTCTTCCTTGCTGTATCGTGAGCGTCCCGAATGGAACGAACCAATTCTGAGATGTAGTCTCCAACTTCCTGAGCTTCCCCCGACTGGCACTGGGCAAACATCAAATCAGCGGGAAGATTAATTTTCCGGCCTAGCATCAGCATGTTTGGAGTAAACCCTGTAGATCTGTTTACTGTGGCGCATAATGCACCAGCAAGTTGAGGAAGATGGACATCCCAGTCTTTCTGTCTCTTGCAAACATAACATCTTACCGCATCAATCAACGTACGATTAAACCGCTCTACTTGACCGTTGGCTGACGGTCGGTAGCTGGTAGTACGGGACTTGTGGATCTGTAAGACTTGACATAAAGAGTTACACAATTCACTTTCAAAATTCCTCCCTTGATCAGAGTGTAACTGGAAGGGAACCCAAAAGTGGGAGAAGAAATCCCCCAACAAAGCTCTCGCAGTCACCTCGGCGGCTTGGGAAGGAACGGGACTGATCTCGACCCATTTCGTAAATTGATCAACCATCATTAAGATGTATATATTGCCCTGTTCAGTTTTGGGTAGGGGGCCCAGGAAATCTATGTGCACCCGCTCCATCGGTACCTCAGCATGAAACTCGGTCATCGGATATTTACTCCTGCGAGTGGATTTCTTGCTACGATTACAGATTTCACATGTTAACACATATCTCTCCACATCCTTACCCATATCGTGCCAGCAGAACTTTTCCTTCAATCTGAATTTTGTTCTTGCTATTCCCTGGTGCCCCGCTGACGGTAGGTCATGGTGTAGCCGTATGGCTTCTATCTGCCACTCCCTAGGTAGTACTAAGAAGCGCCCAGTAGCGTTCTTCTGCTGTATGAACAGGATCCCTTCGTCGGTTAATTGTAGACGGTCTTTGTTCAACCAAAGAAATTTACAATAGTTGAAGCGCTGGAAATAAAGAGCGTCTTTTCTAATGGTTCGCCGTTCTTCAACCAATCTAGGATGGGTGCAAGGTCAGGATCATTTTTCTGGCCCTGTTTTATTTCATCCAAAGAGTAGCCTCAGCAAGAAGCTTTAGCATCTGGTTGTACAGCATATACTCTGGATCCGTTATCCTGTAAGATAGAAATTGTATTATTTCCACCCTGGGTGTCCGGCCTAATTATTTCAATTGTCACCTGGCCCCCAGATCCCATGGATTATCGTTGGCTGACCTGATCTGACCGACATGAACGATAGGCACTACATCATCTACTACTTCCTTGAAAGTAGCCCACCTCTCATGCGCTCGTCGACAATACGAACACCCCCCACAAGGTAGATCTGTAAGTGGGGTGGCGCCCACCCCAGAGTCATGCATTTCCCCCAGACAAGAGAGAGCGTCGGCGTTAGCATGCAGTTTGCCCTTTCGATGTTGGATGATCATATTGTACTGGCTGAGCTCTTCGATCCACCTAGCTGTCTCTGTCGTTGCTTAAAGTTAAGTAACCAAGTTAGGCTATTGTGGTCAGTCCTCACTCGAAAAGGTCGTCCCAGTAAGTAATGACGAAAGTGTCTGGTCATGTAGACTATGGCCAGAAGTTCTTTACAAGTGGTACAATAATTCCGCTGTTCCTTAGCCAAGTCCATGCTTGCGCAAGAAATCACCTTTTCTTGACCATCCTGCACTTGGAGGAGTTCTCCACCAAGAGCTTGATCTGATGCATCAACGTCTAGTATGAATTCATCTTCTCCGTTTGGTAATGCGAGTACCGGGGGTTGCGTTAATGCGGCTTTGAGTAGTTCAAAAGCTCGCTCATGCTCCTCTCCCCAGTCGAAGTCCTGGTCATTCATCTTGATTTACCAGTACCCCCAGATAGCGTCTAACTTGGAGAACCAAATATTACCTGAGAGTGTATCAAGGCAATCCCTGACTAACGGTAATGGGTAAGCATCTTTAACCGTCACATTGTTGAGTGCACGGTAGTCGATACAAAAACGTACTGACCCGTCACGTTTACGTACTAAAACTGGGGGAGGTGCCCACTAAGAAACAGAAGGTTGGATGACTCCCGCTTCCAGCATCTTGTTGATTTCCTTCTCCTCACCAGCGAAACGTAACGGCGTTGGCCGAAGACGTTGTTTAATAGGAGGAGCATCCCCAGTATCAATTCGGTGCTCGATCTCTGCGAAGGTGCCAATATCAAACTGAACGAGTAATGCAGTGAGTGCTTGGAACTCTAAGTCTGAAAGAGAAGACTTAGAAACATTTAACATTCCAATCATTTGTTCAGGTACCCCAGGTGTAATCCCTTCTCTCATGGCAACTTCGTCGTCATCCCCTGTGACTGAACTTATTCTTGGTGACTCGGTGTCCATCACGTTGAATTGCTCATGTCTCCATGGCCATACCTATTTTCCTACCCCTCTTAATGGTTACATAATTATCGGACATATTCACTACACAAATGCATGGCGTATCAATGCAGCGGGTTAGCGTAGCTGGAATTGCTACCTTTTCGGTAGGGTCCGGTTCTATGAAGAAATCAGACATAGGTAAGCTATCACTAATTAAATGACACTTAACATGTGCAGCACAATGAGGAGGTATTACTCTACGTTTGGCAACAAATACACAGGCTACTCTCAAGTCAGGTGTCGCTCCCCTCTAAGAGATATGGTGCTGTCACCAATGGTTAATAGTAGCTTCCCGAAGTCAATTACAGCTTTGTTGGGATGGAGGAAATCCCCACCCAATAACATCTCATCATTTATAGGAGCTACATAGAAAAATCTACTATACTCGTTTGAACCTAAACGAAAGTTAACGGGACCCACCTTATAGCCTGGCATGGATGTTCCCCCCTGTGTCCTGCATGCTTTTCTGGTCTTCTTCTTCTTGTTGGCCGCTACAATGAGGATGGTCGGCTAGCTGGCCATGGCTTCCAACCCCTACTCCCGGTTGTAACGTTTACCCACTTGCCTACATTCCGCAGTCTCGATATCGTCGTTATCTTCATCCTCATCCTCGGAATAAGCAGAAGGTGTTGATGAACGACGAGTGACGTGAGTAGCAGACCTGATCAGGGGTTTTCCAATATCTCGAGATCTGCTCCCTTTCTTGGTGCCATACAATCCTCGGAGATTGTCGTACTGTTCATACTCGGTCAAAGCCTCTGCCAGAGTGGTAACATGCTTATGGAGACATATCTCCCGGCCTCTGCATCCCGGAACCAAGACAGAACCTCGTAGCAGCTTGCTGACGGATCCAGGCCCTTGGTAGATCTTTATATGCTTTTCGGGTCATAGTCATAACTCGATAACCCCACTCATCAATGGATTCGTCTTCACGTTGAGTGGCGGCTTCCAATCGAGCTTGCAGGAAGGCAGGCAAATCTTCCTCCCCGAAACGTTTATCAAAGGCCTTCAAGATCTTAAAGGTGATCCTACAGTCCATTTCTAGGAGATTCACATAGAAATCGGCTGCAGACCCCTCCACACACCAACAAAGAGTTTCAGTTTTAGCTTTCGGTGTTAGTTCATACTCTTCTGTAAAGGCTATAAAAGGTTTTTTTAAGAAAGACCAGCTTTCCTTGCCCTTAAATACTAAGTTCTTGAGAATATCCCTCAGCTTGAGAGTTCTTTTCCCAGGTCTATGATAATCCTCCCGTTGTCGTTCTGATCTATAGTAATCATGCAACCTGTCGATAATCGGGTCTGGGATAATCCTCCCGTTGACGATGATGTCTATAATAATCTTCTTGTGGTCTATCAAGTCGAGGATAACTCTCTCGACGTTCAAAGCCCAGGATAAATTTGAATATCCCAATTGGGTCTTGGATTTTAAAAACAAGACAAGCCAACCCGCCCGAAAACAGTGTAGCTGTTGGAGAATA